CTCTCGCTCTCTTCGTGCTGGACATGGCTGCCACCTGCCCAGCACTCTCAGAGACGAGTGCGCCGGGTGGGGCGGCAGTGACCAAGGTGACGGCTGTGACATGGGGAAGGTTCCACAATGGCACCTGTGCTGCTGCTGGGAGTGGCGTTGAGGAGGGGGCTGCAGGGCACGGGACGGCGGCTAGAAGGCGCTCCCTGTGCCCAGCGGGCAGCCCTTCTCTGCGGCCAGCAACAGGGCACAGAGGAGCCGAACCTGAGGAAGGGTTTTCTGTACAATGATACAGAATGCAAGCTGTTAAAATACAAGTTGTGTATCCCAGAATTTACCATAAAAAAAACTAGTTTTTATGCATCGGAAAACGTTTTGCTCATTTTCAGACTGCACAGAGAATCCACAGCTCGGAGTGGATTCTGGCCCTAGAATACGCACCAGCTGCTGATGGGGGTCTGCGGGTGTGGGTGGAGGTGGTCTGGAAGGCCTGGGAGGTAAGGCCTTCACAGGGAACAAGTGGCTGACAGCTCGCTTGGGGAGCTCAAGCCACAGCCCAGGCAGCTTTGGCTGCCAGCACTGCAAACCGCCTTCCTGGCATCAGGGCACGCCAGAAACTCCACCCCTATCTCCTGCCCAAAAGTCCCACACAAACCAGAGCAGAGGGCTGGATGACAACAGAGTAGAGTGTATGGATGACAACAAGTTTTATGAAAGAAATGAGAATGTAATAACTATGGGTAGATAACCCGACCTTCACTCTGTGCAAACAGTTTTAAGTTAAAACCCTGCATTTCCAACCACTCTGCTATGGAAAGCATTCTAGGCTCAAATAGGAGGCAGCATGTACTCACTGATGGTATTAATGAGAGCACAGCAGTCCCGAGGCATTTGGAGAAGGAAGAAAAAAACATTCATCTGATGTTGTCCCCAGAAATCTCAGTCATTATCCACGACAAGGTAAAATCCAGGTCAGGTGATATGGTGAAGATAAGCAGGACTGCCAGCTTACCAAGAAACGACTCCATCCGTTTGGAAAGTTCGTGTTTGTTTCTGTTAATCCTGAAACTTTGCTCTGTGGTAGAAACTCCACTCTCCATTAATAAAAAGGTGAAAAGCAGGCAGGAGACCCAAAGAACCCGAAACCAGGGAGAAGCAGATATGCTGAATTCAAGCCTAACCTGTCAGGAGAACTGGAATCTGAAGGAGAGATGAAACTCTGGGGAACGTAACACAGCACCCAGAGTATGGAAAAGAATATTACTTACGCTGCAACCTGAGCTCTGCCTGGGTTCCTAAAACCAGAAGAGAACGGTCTCCTGCAGATACTCCTTACTCTCCATCCCAATCAGCATCCTGCACAACTGCAAAATGCCAATATGTTCCTTCTGCAAGTGTTACAATTTCTGCACAATGTTTTCGGATGACTCCTGACGAAAGCAATTCCTCCTCCCTCATCCCTCAAACCTTTCCCACAAAAAAGCCTTCACAGAACATACCCTAAGAGGAAAACTCTACTGATTCAATTGACCTCCTGCCTGCCACCTGTGCAGGGGTTTCTTAATTGTTTCTTTTTGTTTGAGCAAATCCTCTATAAGATGATGTTGAAGTTCACACCTTAAACAGCACTCCTTCACTCTCAGACTGCACAGAATGTTAATGGGCTGACACTGTTCTTAAGGTAAATTCTGTTACACGTGGTACTTAGCAGAATTTATTCACAAGTTCCTTGCCCCTTGATTAAAGGCCAATTAGTGTAAATTTCTTTCCTGTAGCTTGCCTTTCCCTCGCTGTTGTATTTGTTTGGTTTCTAAAACCCAGGAAGTCCCAGGATGACCAATGGTGTCTTCTTCTTACAAAGAAAAAAATCACAGAATCACAAGGTTGGAAACGACCTGCAAGATCATCCAGTCCAACCCCTCCTATTGCTATCAGTACCACAAGCACTAACCCACATCTCGTAGCTCCTCATCCAGGCGCCTCTTGAACGCTGCCAGGGACGGCGACTCCACCACCTCCCTGGGCAGCCATTGCAGTGCCTGACCACCCTCTGAGAGAAAAAGTTTCTCCTCATGTCCAACCTAAACCTCCTCTGGAACAACTTCTGGCCGTTTCCTCGGGTCCTACTATTTGCCTGGGAGAAGAGGCCAGACCCTTTTACACCACAGCCTCCCTTCAGGAAGTTGTAGAGTGCTATGAGGCCTCCCCTGAGCTCCTCTTCTGCAGACTGAACAATCCCAGCTCCCTCAGCCGCTCCTCGTAAGACTTGTGCTCCAGATCCCTCACCAGTTTCATTGCCCTTCTCTGCACACGTTCCAGGGTCTCCATGTCTTTCTTGTAGTGAGGGGCACAAAACTGAACACAGCACTCGAGGTGCAGCCTCACCAGTGCTGAGTAGAGGGGATGCTCACCTCCCTGCTCCTGCTGGCCACACCATTTCTATTGCAGGCCAGGATGCCGCTGGCCCTCTTGGCCACCTGGGCACACTGTGGGCTCATGTTCAGCCGAGCATCAACCAACACCCCCACATCCCTTTCCTCTCCACAGTCATCCAACCACTCATCCCCAATCCTGTAACGCTGCATGGGGTTGTTGTGCACAAACGCAGGACCCGGCACTTGGCCTTGTTGAACCTCATCCCATTCACCTCAGCCCAGGGATCCAGCTTATCTAGATCCCTCTGCAGGGCCTCCCTGCCCTCAGGCAGATCCACACCACCTCTCATGCACACCTACTTGAGGTTCTTTCATCTCAAGAATCAAGCCTTGGATCTTTTTTTCCCTTTCAGGTCTCAATTTCACGCATCTTTACTCAAACACCAACCCCTGAAGTTTCCTAACAAAACGTTCACTTACTGCACCTTCCAGCAGCACGTTGCCCAGCACAGAGCTGCTGCTTTTTCAAAGCTGATCCAGAACTCCTATTTCAACTCACAAACATCCCAAAAGCTCTTTCACCCTTTCTTCCTTGCTTGCGATAACACCCCCAAGACCCATCACCACAGATTCACTACTTTCCATCTTTCATATTTCTGCTTTTTAAAATGCATTCACCTCCCAAGCTTTTTAAAAATCGCTTCATCGTTGTGGAGCGAAACGTTTTACCTCTCCAGACACACAAACCAGCCTAAGTTTGCAGATTTTTAAACAATTATTATTTACTGTGACAGCAGTAGAAGTTTTAACTGACTTTTTATCCCTTCTACTCCTCAGCCCCCGATTCCTGCTTTTAACTGTGAGGAAATCAAAATAATCACCACTGTTACTGGAACAAATGGTGCACAACAACCCTGGCAGCTCGCTCTTATAAAATCAGTACTGAGTTACAATGCTTTAAAACTAAACGCTGTTTAAAATTATTTCTAAGCAGTATTTTTATGACATTTCCAAAATAGTTCTCGTCCTTATAGAAAAAAATATATATATATTTATATTTGTTTCATGGCCACAGTGACACTTGGAGACAGAATTTCACATTTTTGCATGATCTTTAGATACACAAGCATGGCTGTACGCTGCTAGGTTTTGTTAGTCTCTATCCAAACAACATTATTAAGGTGGCAGGGCATTAAGAATGATGCACACATAACAGATTTCTTCAATTCCACTTCTCATGCCCACTACCAGTATGTTTTATGCTATACCCATTGAAATGAGTCTTCAAATAATGTTTTCCTGTCAGATGGGCTCTAGGGAGACAAGAAGGGCAGTAAGGTGACAAACTGCAGGACAGGCTGCTTGGGGAGATTGCAAGGCAGTTGCTAACGTATGCAGGGAGGAAGTTAGGAAGGCAAAAGCCCAACTTGAACTCAGACTGGCCACCGCAGTAAGAGAATAAGAAATCCTTTTATAAACCTATCAGTGGTAAGAGAAGAACCAAGGAGAATTTCCACCCTTCTCTTGATGCAGCGGGGCATGTGAGCACTGAGGATAAGCAGAAGGCTGAGGTCCTCAATGCCTTCTTTACACCTGCCTGTAAAAGGCAGATCAGTGATCATCAGGGCACTTTATGCCCCAATCTGCAGCCTGGGATGCTACCCAGAACGCAGCCCAGGGATGCAGGAGGAGACAGTCAGCGAGCTCCTCCTCCATCTGGACTGTCACAAGCCCATGGGACCAGACGGGCTCCGTCCTGGGCTGCTGAGGGAGCTGGTGGGGGTGCCAGCAAGATGCCAGCAAGTCCTCTCTGATGCTTTCAGTGCTCAGCAAAATGAAAAACCAGAGAAACTGTTCTCTACTCTGGAGAGTTCCAAAGCTTTTTGACCTGGGGTGAAACTTGGGTACCTCACATTATTTTTTCCAACTGTTAGTACTGCTATCCTTTTTTATGTGCATATTAAATATTTTCATGTTTGTCAATAGTTCTTGAGATCCTAGAGAAAAGAAACAAAGGGCATTCTTACTTCTCCTATCCCTTGGCTACTACTCTGTGCTCCTCCATGGCAGTGACACTACTAGCATATTCATTATTGTTTCTGTTTTCAAGAAATATTTTTTTCCGTGTAATTAATTTGAAAATTAGTGATGGACAAACCTCAAGCTTTCAAGAGGACTGAACTGGTCACGAAAAGCACCCAGAAGCTCAGAGGCTTATCAAAGCTAATCTGAGAATTTCCAAACGTCTCTGCTCCAGACAGAGGCACAGAAACCCATTGGCTCAGGACTGCCATCACTGGCTGGGCTCACCTCTCTCCCTGCTCCTCACCCAACATCCAGGACTGGCTTTTACCATGTCCCTGCTGAAGAGCACACAAGGTACGCAAGCACACCGCTCTCCCTAGGAAAAACATGGCTCCTAGGCACCTGCACTGCAAGCCTATAAACAGACGTCCAAGTCTCACAGGAATCAGAAAAGCTTAAACCATACCTGAGGCCCCTGTTTAGCAGTAATGGTTTGCTGAACTTGGGCTCACAATATGATTCCAACTTGTCACCTTCCTGCCTTCCAACTGCCTTCACCGTGCTTTGAAGCTAAGGGCATTAAGGCACTGGATCTTATGTAACAGCATCTGCTTCATCACACGCAGAGGAAGGAGTGTCTCAGTAACGTACATCACACACCAGCCAGGCTGCTAAGGACCGGTAACTCTTCTGGGACAGCTTCATCAAAACCTTTCTGGATTAGCCTTGCTATCACACAGAACTCGTCCCATTACCGCTTTGAGGGGTCAGAGCCTGAACTCGACTAAAAGGCCACCTATCATCATGAAATCAGGCACACCTGATACAACCACACCACTAAGGCTCCTCTGCTCAACTTCACTGGTTCCCAGTGCTCACTTAAAAAATAAAATCCACCGCGAGTATCAAACACCAACACGTTTCTCAGTATCTGAACATCCCTGCCTCGTCCATCTCTGGCCAGCAGGACTAAATTCAAAGCAGTGCAAGCCACCATTCCACACAAGTAGCTGTGTTTAATCCTGCAGATCAGAGCTCAATAAACACTGGCTCAGCACAAGTCACTCACAGAGAACAGGGGCTCTGCTGCCACCGGCACCTGCTGTACATCAGGAAGGAAAACGAACCGAGGAAAATGAACACAGCAGCATACAACTAAGAGCTCCTCGTGATTGTCAGCACTGAAAGGAAAGCAGGCTGAAGGAAAACCTCAGGTAAATCCATACAGGACAGCAAAGCAGGGAGGACAAAGGACAGGGACTGATCCTGAACTGAACGCATTAGAGAACAAGAGCCTTGAGAGGAGTAATTGGCTATGCAGGTGAACAATATGCACGTCCGAAATGGTGATTTCTTCAGAAGACTCCAGGGTGTTCCTCATCAAGACAAAGGACAGTACATAAAAATATCAGGATGGACATAAGTTGAAAATTCTTTCCAGCTGGCCTGGCATCCTGGGGCAAGCTGAAGACTAGACAGGGCACCAACACAGAAGGAGAACTAACAGCACAGGGGGTGCCACAGAGAAACTGGAAAGTGACCAAATCTCTGCTCAGACAGAAACTGCTGTGTGAGGTAGAAAGCTGAGGGTGATACCTGCTGCCAATGAGGAGCGCAGTGGAAGGACAGGACGGATGCCACCTGCAGCACAGACATTCACACCAGGGACGCAGCGCAGAGCTACGATCCCAAAGCCATTATAAGGTTTGATTTAACAGCGCTGTGTGGGACGATTCAACTGCTTCAAGCTCAAACAAGATGCAAGTGACTGACTAATCCATACATCTCAGTGACCTCAAAACCTGACGTCTTGGAAAAAACAAACAGAACAGACCATCTCAAGTAGCAGATAATCAATCTACAGAACTTAATCCAGCAGGCAGTCCTGTGGCCAAATTCTGTGCTGGCAGCAGAGTCTTATTATGACCATTAGGAACATTCCCAGTTACAGAGCTACCACAACTTGGGCACTAAATACACAGACGTACCTGGGAGAATAGAAAATAAAGAAGCAACTTACCCTCCCCTTATCCAACTCCGCTCTCACATGTGGAAGTGAAACTACAAGTTCAAATGCCAGGAAAAAATAAGGGTAAAAAAAAAATCACCTGGTATTTTCCAGGCAAATCACCAAGATCATGGAATCACAGAACATCCCCAGTTGTAAGGGATCCACAAGGATCATCAAGTCCAACCCGATGCTCCAGGAAGGACAACCCAAACGCAGATGGTCTTTAAGCTGCAGCAGCTCAGGACCAGGCCCACAGCCCTGGGGAGCCCGGCCACAACCACTGGTATCAGATGCAGCAAGCACAGGGAGCAGGCAGGTAGGCACAGCAAGCAGCAAGCAAAAACCAATCTGAGAGGGGGCCTGCTTACAGAAATCAACCCGGGGCCTGCCTACACAAAGCCCACACCTTTCACTCCAGGAAAGCTCCACCATTTTGACAGCCAAAACACAAACTGCCATTTCACTTCTCATGGCTCTTCCCTGAACTCCCAAACAGTTACTTCACGTCCCCTATCGCACTGCAACTGCTCATAATCAATAATCTAGATTATATCTTTCACAACATAAGAAGCTCACTTCTGCTTGGTGGCAATGACGTCCATTCCCTTTGCATCCCTTCATGTGAGGAAAATCACAGCCGGCTTTCTGACAGCCTCCTGCATGATTCCCCCAAAAGCACCCAGCACTTCTTCTGAAGAGTGAAAGAAAGGAAGGTTCATGGAAATGGGCGCACAAGGCTTGCAAGAGATGCAGTGCTGCAGATCAGAGACAGGACCATCACAGTGCAAAACACAGCTTATCACTAAAGGAAACATTTGAGAGCACTTTCACAACTTCTGCATGAGCTGTAATGGTTCAGCATATCCAGCTTTCTTATTGTTCGTTGGAGAAGGCAGATGCTCTCACACATCAATCAGCAAGCACTTGGATGAGCCAGCCTTCTGCTTTTCACGACAGACATGGTTACTGCCGGCTCTGACACCTTACCAGGAGATGCTTCAGCTCATTAACGTGGACTTCATTCCTTCCATCAGCAGCTGCTCCTGAACTGACCTTCATTCATACAGCGACATCACCAACTTCCAGCACGAGCTGACCTGCAAAACAGAGAAAAGAGAGCAGGATGACAACCAGCACAGAGATAACACGCTTTAATATTCACAAACAAAAAAAGCAATAGCAATACAGAAGGGCAGCTGCAGCAACACAGCAGTACATAAAGAAATGAAAACCTGGCCCGGCCCTGGAGCGGAGCGGCCCGGCCCCAGAGCCCCCACCTCCAGATGCCTCATTCAGCAGAGATCCATCATCTCAGCAACCACCCACTACCCAACCCGCCAGTGTTCCTGTGACCTGCCATCAGCTGACGAGACAGAAGTAAGATCACCATGATCTTCCAAGCCACGAGATGGGCCAGGACACCACAAGAGGATTCACAATACTTTAGTTGGGGCCTCATGAATCAGCCTCACCCAACCCAGTTGGGGCCTCATGAGCAGAGAAGGACGATCGCCTCCCTGCTGCCCACTGCTCTTTTGTTGCAGTCCACAATACTGTTGGCTTTCTGGGCTACCAGCACACACTGCTGACACAGGTGAAGCTTTTTGTCTCCCAGGGAAGCCCAAGAGCTTCTTGGCAGGGCTGCTGTTGAGGAGTTCTCCCACCATTTGGTAGTTGTGCTCTGGAATCCTGCCTTCAGGCATGAAAGCCAGGGAAGCGTTGCTGGTGAAAACAGAGGCAAAGAAGCCGTGAGGTACATCAGCCCTCTCTGCTCCTGTGCTTATTAACACAACAGTAGGCCCGCACCACCCCTCTCTACTCCTTTACTTGTAAGGAAACTCTATCAGCTGGAGCCTTCACACTCCTCTGTGAGTATCAGGTCCATGTCAGGTGAAAGCAGCCAAAGCTGCCCTGACTATCACAGCCCTGACCAGCTCCCTGTTGGCCAGTGTGAGACCCAGCTGAGCATCACCTGTGTTTCCCCCCAGCAGCTGTGTGAAGAAGTTGGCTGAACTCGGTGGCCTGTTGTTCTGTTCAGCCAGAGAATGCCAGGGCAATTGCAGCTCCCATAGGCAGCTGCTCATTGATCTGCAGACACCTCAGATTGCTGACAAAAGGCTTCTGCCTGCTCTCCTTGATCAAGCAGTTGGGAAGCAGTCTGATCAAGACCACGCAACAGTTAATGATGTTATCCTGTAATAGCTCAAGTGACCAAAATGAGAGAATCTTTTTCATGGTGTACTTACTGCATGTGAGTCGTAGGCTCGTTCACTTCTGGACACTTAAGGATACAGTTTGCAAAGGAATCCTTCATTTTATCTCCATCTATCATTAGCTGTATCCAATAAAGTCCTGCAAGAAGACACAAAAGCTGGGACAAACTTGCTGATAACAGCTGAGGACACGCAGGAATGTCCATGACACAACAGCCACTGCAGTCAAGGAAGATCTAGAAAATACAGGTGATAAAGCAGAAGAGAAAGAAATAAGCTTAATCATGCTCCTGTGGCACACAACTCCATTTGTTCAGCTAAATCCCTTTATAGGCTGCCCTCGTAATGAACAGCAGGGACAGCTTCAGCTGTCCCAGATGTGGGTATGTACTGACAGTGCAGGTGTTGTTGGACAAAGGAATGTCCTTCCACGCTCTGGGAGTAACAGCCTACATTTCACCAGATATTTGCATCTGAACAGCTCCTTCCTATCCTTAATCTCCACATGTGAGCATTAGTGGCTCACTAATTAGCATTAGTGAGGTACCTCACAGGGAGTTGTCTATGTTGTGGACATCTGATCTGAGGCAAGAGGAACTGAGGGGGGTATTGGGAGGGGGGGGGGGAGAGGATCAGAATGGGGGAATAAGGAGGGGAGGGATGAGGGGGATGAGGTGAGGGTGGGAAAGGGACCCTGGGGGTAAAAATGGAAAACTGGGAGGGAGGCGGGGGGGTCGAGAAGGAATGGGGGAACTGGAGTTGGGGGGTCTCTAAAGATCAGTGTTGGGGAGGATCGGGGGGAGAGTGTGACCCTGGGGGACAGAAAAGAGGGACTGGGGGAGTTCATGGCCGAACCGTGGAGGGGAACGAGGCAGCGATGTACCCTGGATTGGGGGCGGGACGACACAGCGCACCTCCCCATACCGAGCAGAGGCCCTGAGCACCACAGAAGCCCCACGGGGCCCCCCCGAACACCCACCTGTAGAAGCTGAAGCGGCGCTCGGAGCCCGGAGCTGCCCAGCGGCGTTGGAGCAACGCGCAGCCCCGCACCACTTCCGCACGGACGCCTCAGTCTTGCGGCGCAGAGTGATGACGTCACCCGGCCCCGCGCACCTCTCGCCAGTCGGCCCTGCAGCTCCTCCCTCGCCCGGCCCCAACGCGCCGCTCCAGTAACCGCTCTCAGCGCGGGCGGAAAGTAACCGACCTTTTATTCTCATTATTGCTACTAAAAATCTCTGCTGTCTTTTACGAATTGCCATGAATTTCCACTCGGCACACGCAGGTGCGTTCTGCGTTTCCTCAGTTACTCCGCGCTTCCAATCTGACACGGCCGAGGGCTTTGCGGGGCTCCTCCTGCTGATACAAAGCGGGAAGCGCCGCGGCACATCCGCACGGCCCCCCTCTGCCAGCCGCAGAACCCTGACTTGCTCCGTGCCCGTGGGCAGGATGCTGTGCTCTGCAGCAGCCCACCACAGCTCTCTGCGAGCTCCCACCACTATGGGGCTCTATGGGGTCTTATGGGGCTCTGTGGCAAAGCTTTTCCTCGGGGCTTTCCTCCAGAAGAAGCAGTGGGCAGAGACTTACCGAGACAGCAAACTCTTTGGAGGCACTGCTGACTTGCCCAGAGGGAGAAACTGCCTTGGAGATGTGCCAGGTGGTGAAAGCCATGGGCTGGAGATGCTGATTCTGAAGGTGCTTGTGCTGGAGCTTGAATTTCAGCCCGCAGATAGCTGGCTGTGGTGGTTGGTGATGCTCACAGCACAGGGTGTGAAGGCCTTGCATAGGAGCTGAGGAGGCATAAGATGGTCGGCACCCTCCAGTTCCTGGGAGGTCCCAAATGTCCTTGGGCAACGGAGGGGGAGACAGTGGATGTGGGGGGCTGGGACAGCAGACTTTGCCTGAGCTCAGGATTGGAGTAGCTCAGTTCCCAATGAGAGCGCATCACATCCATTCCTACTGTCCTGCTTTCTTTCTAAAGGAACTGACCAAGAAACTGAGCAGGATGCAGAAGGCACTAGGGTGCTCTGAGATGTGGCTTGGTCCCCCTGCAGCACGCATGATTGCTCTGGGGCGTGTCTGGATATCTGCAGAGCAAACTGTGGGGGGCTGAGAAACCTCTGTGGCACATTAGGGGGCATTAGAAGCCGGAGGTCAACAGGGGAGTCCTTGGAGACCCCTTGGTAAGACTCCATGGGCCCTGGAGTGTAGGAGCAGCTAGGGCTGGTCACACCTGCTTGGCTGGGAGCTGACTGGCTGGGAGGTGATTCCCTTTTTTTGATTAATTTAATTACCGGATGATAATTAAATAACACTATTCAACATTCGTTAAAGATTATTTTTTTCCCAAAGTTCTGTCACGCAGCTGTTGCAGCTTTGCTAAAATATGCTGAGTTTATTCAAAATTCCACTGATGCTCCTACAGCACTCAAAGTGCGTTTGGGGGCAGTGATAAAACAGCTCTGACAGATTCGTCATTAACGTGCGTTATGCGGCAATCCAGGCCTCCTTGGGCTGCGTAAATTCAGTTTCACCACCGCGTTCCATCTCCCTTCGGCACGGCAGTGGAGCCGGAGACCGACTCAACATGGCGCCGCCGTGGCACCGCTCTGCATCCCGTTCCTACCTTCCTCCCATCATGCACTGCGCGACAACAGCCGTTCCGCTTTCGGCGCTGCGGTGATTGGTCCATCCTCTCCCCTGACCGGAAGTGAGCGTTCCGACAGCGAAGTTCGAACGCCAGCTGCCGGCCGGGCCGCGCTCTGTGCAGCTGCCGGCTGCCCCGCTCTCTTTCGGCCCGTCGGAGCGCGGATTCGGTATGCGGCGGAGGCCGGGTCGCCCTGGAAAGGGGGTTGGGGGGCTGGGAGTAGCGCTCCGTGTGTCTGCGCTGAGGCGGCGGGG